TGACTGAAAAAGCTAAGTTTCAGCATCAAATATGCATAAGGTTTAACAAAAGACTACATGTAGCGGAAAGTGGATGAGTATAAAGTGTTTATAAATGGACTTAGTAAAGCTAAGATGCAAAAGGCTTACAAAATAATGGAGCGAGATTCTAATTTTGGTAAATATACAGGTTTGTGTTACTAAGTAAATACTCACAACTGACGTGCAGACCCTCTGGAGTAGTAGCTAGGATGTTAGCTACACTTGACACACCTCTTAAGCCTGTCTGCAACAAGATGAAATACACTAGGGTGAGTGTGAGAAAGCCAGTAGGTATATATATAGATTGTGGTTTCAAGCAGGCCATATAGTTATTAGTCAATTTTAAGACATGCTAAAAGCAAGCTTAATGCAATAAAAACAGCCCTAAAATTAATAATAAAAAAAAAAGGACTTTTATGCTCCCACATCATTCCCCTGGGGTTGGAAATCGTGCTAGGTTCAAATTGAAGGTCTTGTATTTAGCATATTTATCTAGAGCAGTTTTCTTGCATTAAGACCTCCAAAAATGTCCTTTAAACTTTACACCCACATAACGAACAATGGATGTTGCAATACAATGTTGCAATACAATGTAGTCTCACCACCTCTTCCAAAAATAAATCAACAATTTGTGTGCCATTTGAAATTTTAGAACAGGGAAAGAAGTCTGCCATTTTTGTGTATAATTCAAACCTGTAGGTAGGCAGATTAATTAAACTTGCTGCTGCAATAAAATCAAAGACATGTTGAATATTCACCATTGGCAGTAATCCTTCTGGTGGTTCCTTATTTTCTGACCCCTTAAACTCTTCTAATAGCTGCAGAGTTTTAGGAGGGTGCATAGATATTTTTCTCATTTGTTTTTCTTCAAACAACTTATTTGTATAAGCATAGATGCTTCCTATTTTACTTTCCCTTCAAACTTTGTTGCGTCAAAGTTTTTACCAGAGCAATATCTAACTACCTTGTTATCACTAGAGATATTTTTTTTCTTGATCATCTTCACTTAAAGAATGCAAGGTATTATGACTCCAATCTTGTCCTTCTTCCTTAGTTATTGCCATCATTTCTTGAATCATTAAAGATTCTCCTTGAATTGAAAGAATGTCTCCTTCTTCAATTTCATCACAATAAACACCATAAACTAGTTCTAACATGTCACCTCCTTCATCTTCAAAACTTGTTTACTTTCTCCCCAAGTTATGGACAAGCAAAAGAGTAGTGCCCCCTCCCTCCACAACTAAAACATTGAATTCCTAAATTGCCTATTTGAGTATTGGAATGAGATGTTACATTCTTTCCTATTGAAGTATGCTCCTCCATTGCCATTCTATTCTGTTTTTGGTATGAAATTTTTTATACAATTCCATTGCACAACTTGAAGCCAAAAAAATTTTTTACTAGCTCCAGCACCATCCAATGGAGACCATCACTTGATACTATGAAACCAAGCTTTCCACCAGTTAAGTTTTCCTTCAATTAATTTTTCTAGCAAATTCTTATCTTTGACTTCCAACAAAACTAGATTTCCACCCAAAGGATATGCTGACATTATGACTCCTGCTGCTAAATCATCTTAAAGGGCGGAAATTAACTCTATTGGTTTCACCAATGCTACCACACAATACTCCAACTACTTTGACTCTTCAGCATTAGAACTGAATTTCAACATTTTACCACATCCCACGTCTTTTGTAAGATTTCTGGTTCATGTATTCAGGGCACTTGTCTTCCTCTTCATTGTTTGGATAGGGAACAGGTTCTCAAGAGGGGTCTCACTCCTATTCACCTTGCAATAGTTGTCATTTTTTCTGTCAAAGGTTTTATGAACTCTTAATTTATAAGATCTGAAGCAAATCTCATTAAGATCTTTCTCCAAGGCAGCCTCTTCCTTCATCCTGAAGTGTTTTACAAACCCAAACGATTCCCCATTCTGTCTCTTTTCCTTGGTAAGAAAACATCTATAAGTTTTCCATAGATCACAAGCTTTTCCTGCAGATCCTTCGCATCCCAATCCTCCCGAAAATTGGTGAAGTAGAATGAGGTCACCTGTTTCATGACATCACAATCTGCTCATCTTTCATCCACACTGGAGTTGTTCCCAAAGACCAGCCCCCACCTCACAGTTTTGACAATGGCTCTGTAAAGACAGGGATAGGGTTCTCATGATAGGAAGGAAAACTCTCACTTAAAAGAGGAAAAACGTTTCGGGTCAGGAGGGTTCAACGTCATTGGTGGCTGGTTGGGTTGGAGAGAATCATCTCTCTTCAAACATTTAATTCTTTGGGGAAAAGAAAGTGTTGGAGTTGAGTCCTTGAATTTATGAATTAATTCAGGTCATTGAGTAGTTTGTATGGTAAAAGAGGAAGCTGGAAAGTGTTGCATGTATATGTTTTCCATTAGTAATTGTGTTCAGTTTCTGTCCTTGTGTGTAGACGAGATAAGAACGTTGTTAGAATAACAGATGATGGATGTTTGAGGCCAAGCAGCTTGCTCTTAAGTTTTACAGGATGGTTGGCAGAGTTCTGTTTACTGTTTGTAAGGTTAATTTTGTAGATTGTCAAGTACAAGTTATTTAGTTGAATTTAGTGATAGTTTTTCTTTGTAATTAAAGATTTCATATATGATTGATAAGTACTTGAATAATATTTGTAGTGTGCATAAAAAATCTTCATTTATTCTGTTTTAATTGTTAATTCAGTTGAATTTAGTGATAGGTTTTCATTGTAATTAAAGATCTCTGTTTCAATTATATATTTGTAGAGTGAATTCGTTAGTCTTCAGAAATGGCAATAACTGTTTGGGAAATTTTGTGAGGATGAGAGAAAATTACTGAGAAGTTCAAAGCCTTTTGTTTAAAGGTGTCATGATATTTCTCATGAGTTTCTTATCCAAAACTTTTCTTTATGCCCCGGTAATTATATATATAAAAAATGCAGTTGACAAGGTTGAACCATACATTTTTACTTCCCTTTCCCTTGATCTATTATTTAACTAATCTTTGTTTTGATATAGGCTAAGGAAGAGGAAGAAAGAAAATTCAATGAAGAATTAAGCATGTTATTTGACATGTTGAACCGGGAGGTACTTCCTTCCAATCAGCTTTTCTTTTTGGTAGTATTTAATACATTAATTACATCACTCTTTATCTGACTCTTTCCAACTCCTCTTAAATTTCACTTCCAGGAAAATGAAGCGAACCAATACTGGGAAGAGGTTGGTAATATTATGCTGCAATATCTTTTAATAATGTTGACATTATTGTATTTCTAAAATTTCTCTTTTACCTTTTTCTTAACGTGCAGGTATTTCAAATTCTGACAGGCTTTCCAGTGGTATAGAAAGCTTGCTGCTTTATGGGTTGAGGATGTTGTAATTAGTCCATCCCATGGAATTATCGTTTTAACTTATTTTAAGGAAGCTTCCGTGACTAGGTGATGTGCCCTGGAGCTTACAGCTGAGTTTTCACCTTCCCTCTTACTCTCCGGGCCTAGGGCTGCAGCAAACTCTTTCTCCAGAAACTGCTCTACGTCCTGTTATGGACGCAGTTTTCTTGTATGTTATTTTGAGGATTTTCTATAGGTTCTACTGTTTAGATCTGTTTATTCGTGTTGTAATAATGGATTGCGTTTATTACTCTATAATATAAGAGGTTTATTTGTGGGGAAAAAATTATTTCATATTAATGATTGAATCTATATTGTTTTGAATGACTGATGTTTACTTGAATTATATTCTTTTAAAATCCTCATATATTCTGTTTTAAGAGCATGTTTGGTATAACTTGTGAAAGCTTTTACTTTTTTAGTACTGTTATGAGTGATAAATTTAAATTTTTATTGGAGAAAAAACAGAGCTTTTGTTTTAGAGATATGAAAAAATGAGTAAAAATGGAGTTTATGAAATGTTTGGATTTAAAACTTTTGAACTTTTATTATTTTAGAGTTTTTTAAGGTTAAAAAAATATTTAAAAATGTAAATATTTTAAAAAAAAATTTTAATTCATGAAATATCAATAGTACCAAAAAATTGAAACTCTTAGGAGTAATCCAAACAGACCTTAATAGGAAATGCAGTTTCAACTCTAAGAATACAAGGCGTTTTGTGAGGAGCCTGGAATCACTGACATGTTCAAGGCCTTTAGGGAAAGAAAGAACGAGAGTCCAAGCAAGAGTTAAAGAAGCTCGATGAAGTTTTTGGGGTGCGCGATTATCTGGGCCTTCCTTTCAAGATAGAGCCGTGCACCTTTTCCATTTTGGATTGTAATATAATATACTGTAACTATTTCATCACAGCCCTACGTATCCACAAATGGGCCTGGATTCCACCCCTATGTCCACCCCTAGGTCACACATAATGTGCATGTTTTCAAAAGTCCACGAGGATGGAACATGCGAATTATTGAACATGGATACTTAACTTTGTGGGATCTTGAAATATCGACAGGAAATTTAGCAGGTATGGATATATTTTGCTACATTATTATACTATTTTTGACATTCTTCTAATTATGGAATGTTATTGTTTTAACTTTTTTTTTAATCTGCAGGATCCTCAAATGTTTCCACCAATTGTTAACTAGAATTGCAGTCCAACACTACATGTGCTATGTTATTAACTGCGGGTGTCATAAATTTTACTGCAATTAGTGAAGGTAGTGAGTTATTTCAATATTGAGTTTGTTTTGTATTATTATTATTATTATTATTATTATTTGTTATAACTGTTAGTTGATATTATATGATTCTATTGTCTCTCCTCCAAAGCCTTATCATGACCGTCTTGC